TATTTTCTTGTGCTAAATTTATAATTTGTTTCATTTATTGAATATTTTATTCAATGTGTGATAAATTATTTATCAAACTGATGACACTTCTTCTTTGTAGTCATGTTGGTCAGATAGAGTGACCTGTGTTCAAATCAATTTGTTTGTTGACAGATCTGGCTGGCAGACTGGTTAGTAGCTAACAATCCAAACAAGCCCAGGGTGCAGGAAGGTGACTACATTGTCGAAGAACCAGACGACTAAAGCTTTATCTGAGTTTTTTATTTTAATTACAACTTGTAAATACACACGCTTGAATAAATAACAGTACTTTGAACTGTAGTAAAGAGCAAAACAAACAATGTTATAGAGAGTTCACTCTCTCAGTGATAAAGGTTATTCCACATCTTATACATTTATGTCCCATGTGATGTATCAAATAGAGGGTAGAACTTTCTTCTTCAAATTATTTAAGACTTCACTGTGTACTGCAAAAATGTATTTTAAGCGTTAATGTTAATTTGTAGAGAAATACAACTGTTACAATTCTTGTTGTTGGATACTCTTCAACACTAATAGTGAGCATTGCTTTGAGCAGTGATTGTTATTATGTAGAGTTGTAAATACATCTATTGGTTAGTACGCCTGGAGACAAGTAACTGAGTACACTTCTCTTTTTTCGTGCCAGTTGTAACACCGAGTTGTACAACATGGAAANTATTTTCTTGTGCTAAATTTATAATTTGTTTCATTTATTGAATATTTTATTCAATGTGTGATAAATTATTTATCAAACTGATGACACTTCTTCTTTGTAGTCATGTTGGTCAGATAGAGTGACCTGTGTTCAAATCAATTTGTTTGTTGACAGATCTGGCTGGCAGACTGGTTAGTAGCTAACAATCCAAACAAGCCCAGGGTGCAGGAAGGCGACTACATTGTCGAAGAACCAGACGACTAAAGCTTTATCTGAGTTTTTTTTTTAATTACTACTTGTAAATACGCACGCTTGAATAAGTAACAGTGCTTTGAACTGTAGTAAAGAGCGAAACAAACAATGTTAAGGAGAGTTCACTCTCTCAATGATAAAGGTTATTCCATATCTTATACATTTATGTCCCATGTGATGTATCAAATGAAGGGTAGAACTTTCTTCTTTAAGACTTACAGTGTATTGCAAAAATGTACTTTAAGCCTTAATGTTAATTTGTAGAGAAATACCACTGTTACAATTTCTTGTTGTTAGATACTCTTCAACACTAATAGCGAACATTGCTTTTTGAGCGGTGATTGTTATTATGTAGAGTTGTAAATACATCTATTGGTTAGTACGCCTGGAGACAAGTAACTGAGTACACTTCTCTTTTTTCGTGCCAGTTGTAACACCGAGTTGTACAACATGGAAATTATACTGTTTTATAGATGAATTAATCGAAATCGTTTTTTGCTCCCCTGTTCTCTTTAATTGCAAGCTAGAGTCAATGAGGTTCAACTACAGGGTC